TCAGGGGGAAGCTATTCCCAAGGTCAAAAGGACTTTGTAGATCTATACTGCAAAATCTATAGCTTACTAGCCCCCACTAGTAGGCTTATCCTGAAGCACCAAATCTGGACTCAGACGCTTACTAGCTAGTTGACTCTGGGCAAGTCACTTAGCCCCATTGGCCTCAGTTCCTCCTCTGTCAAATGAGCTGGAGAAGGAAATGGCAAACCCCTCCAGTGTCTCCACCAAGAAAACCCGAATGGGGTCACAGAGAGTCAAACAATGTCTAAACAGCAAGTGTCAACCAGTAGACACTATTAGGCATCATGTCACAAGGCATTTGTTAAGTACCTACTGTGTGCCAAGCATGGTGCTAACCACTGGGGGCACAAAGAAAGACAAAATAGACTCGATCCCTGTCCTCAAGGAAGTCACAGTCTGATGGGGGAGACAGCATGCAAATAACTGTACAAACAAGACAGAGACAGAATGAATCGAAGAGATCTCAGAGGGAAGGAAGGCACTGACATTAAGAGAGACAGGAAAGGCTTTTTGTACAAAGTAGGCTTTTAGCTGGGGAAGCCAGGAGGAGGAGATGAGGAAGGAGAACAGTCCAGGCAGGGGGCCAGCCAGAGCAAATGCCCAGAGTCAGGAGATGGGGGATCTTGTGTGAGGAGCAGCCAGGAGGCCAGCTTCACTGGATCAAAGAGGAAATGGTGGCTGGGGTGCACGGGGAGGCAGGGAAAGTGTCAGAAAACTGGAAAAGTAAGAAGAGGCTCAAAGCCAAGGCATTCATTAAGCCAGGGGATAAATAAAAGACACAGACCTGGAGTGCACCCTCTCACAAATACACAGAGCATCCGCAGGAAGAGCGAATGCAAACCTGGAAGACGCTGGTAGTGAATCAGGCGGGACTGGAAGCACGTGTGGCCGGAGGGAGCTTATCCCCCTGATACCGCAGGGCCTCGGTATACTTTCTCTTCTTGTAACAGCCCCTTGCTGCTCCCCTCTGGGTCCTGTCTGTGTGTGCAGTTTGTTCAGCCCACCTCTGTAGGTCCCCTTCTCTGTCCAGCTCTATTCTCAACAGCCGAGGCTTCTTTGATTGTGAATGTGGAGCTGCCTCTCTTTTCTGCTGCCAGGGGTCACCACCTAGAGGTGCCTCTACTGACTTTTTCTCTTTCTGTGCTCCCTTATGGATACAATGTATATGGATACAATGTATCCTATGTGGCCAGCAACTCAGTTGCAAGATTGCATGGCCACTGTGGAGAAGGTGAGATCAGTAGCGATAGAGGGATCCTGATGCCTAACATTAGCCCCTGATCTGAAGCACACTTGTTATGGGCCACCAGAGATACGGCCATTCTCTTTCTAGCCAATGACAAGCTACCTGTCTAATTCTATCAGGAAGAACTGACTCACAGTTGGTAAAGTGATAATAGGATGTGGACACATCTTTTGGGCTTTGCTTAGCACCTTTATTAATACCATGTCTCCTGTGATTTCATCAGTTGGAGGGGGTGGAGGGGCTAGAATTGTTTGATCATAGACCAAGTTCCCCTACACCCCAGCGCTGCATGTAAAGTGCTTTGGAAAAACTCAAAGAACTCTGTATATGAGTTATTTTTATTAGAATCCTCCAAACTTCTACTCAGCTGGTGTGTAGGCTTGGGGTGCGTGAGGTTACTTCCACACCACAATGTGGCCACATAAGACAAATTTAGTGGAATTCATGGTGGCTATTCTTGAATAGACACGTGGAAGAAACACATGGCAATAAGGGGGAAATATTACTGGCCATAAGTCAATTGCTGTCTTTGGTGAGTCATTTCAGTCATGTCTGACTCTCTGTGACCCCATCTGGAGTTTTCTTGGCAAAGATACTGGAGTGGTTTGCCATGTCCTTCTCCAGTTCATTTAACAGATAAGGAAACTGAGGCAAACAGAGTGAAATGACTTGTCCAGGGTCACACAGCTAGCAAGCGTCTGAGGCCAGATTTGAACTCATGAAGATGACTCTTCCTGACTCTAGCTCCTGCACTTTATGCACTGTGGCACCACCTAGCTGCCCCTTTCTAAAAATGGTGACAGTGAAAAGAAATCTTAATGGAAGAAATTTAGTTAGCCTCAATGGCCTCTTCTCTATCCACTATGTAATGCAGCTTGTCTCGTAGATACATATTTGTACATATGTGTTTACCATATGCTGTATAGTCCACTCTGGCTACAGCATCCCTTAGCCCTAGGGGTAAAGTGATATGAGGTGGAATCCTCCCTGGACTACTGCTCTGCCTCAGCTTCTTCCTGGGTGACCCATCCAGTCCTCTCCTCTCTGCCTCTTTTTCCTTATCTGTAAAGGGAAGAGGCTTGATGAGAGCAGGACTTCTTAACCTGGAGTTCATAGATCCACAAGGGGTCCACAGATAGAATTTAGGGGATCTATGAACTTGAGTGGGAGGAAAAAAGAATTACATATTTGTGAAATTTAAATTATTTTAAACTTTTCAGAGAAGTGTCCACAGTGTCCATTCATGAGATACCAGAGGGGTCCAGGACAACCAAAGAGTTAAGAGCCCCTGGACTGGAGGAACCCTTGTGAGGCTGTGAGCCTCTGATCCCAGAATGAAAGGCAGGCTGAGGCCGTTCTCTGTCCAACCTGGGCAGCAGAATAGGAAAATTCGGTTATTAGGGAATGAGTAAGTCACAGCATCCACCCTGGAAAGATGTGTTATCAGTGGAGGGAAAAATGACGTCTTTTCATTGAAAAAGCCCCTGACTGGCTTTGGTTCACAGCTGCGCTCTGTCTGCTTCTGGCTCTTTCTCTTTATGTGTGTCTTTATCTCTCTGCACCCCTCTTTATGTCTCCTCTTTTCGTCTCTGTCTTGCTCTTTGACTCTCTCTCTCCGTCTCCCTCCCTCTCTCCCTCCCCCCTCTCTTTCTCTCTCTCTGTCCTTCCCTCTCTCTCCCTCCCTGTCTCCTCTATCTCTGTCTCTCACTGTGTCTCTGTCTCTCTCTTTCTCTCTGTCCCTCCCTCCCTCTAGATCTCTGTCTCTCAGTGTGTCTCTGTCTCTCTCTGTCCATCTCACTTGTTTATGAGCATTTTTTCCAACATTTATTTCCCACAAGATGAGCCCTGGGCTGGAGGCATTCCATGGCAGGTGACATTTGCACATGTTGGCAGGTTTCCTTGGGTACTGTTAATAAGAGTAAAATCGCAGGAAGCATCTTGGAGGAAGTCATGAGGTAACTAGGCTCTTCCCCCATCTCTGAGTCACTCTGGGGATGTTTGGCAGACGCCATTTTACCAAGGCTTTCAGCACGGGTGGCCTGTTACCAGAATCATTCAGAATGAGAGCTTAGCGGGCTTTCTATCTAGCTGAGGGGCTGCCCGGTCAAACTCGTTAGCCTCCTGTGGAAATTGAGAAGGCCACAACAGCCTGATGATCATGGGCTCCATGCAGCCATGCCCCACAGGCCAGGACAGATTGCAGAAGGTTCTGGAACTTATTCTTCCCCAGGAGATATGTTCTGGGAATGTGGCATCTCCACGGGACCCTCATTAGCTGCCAGAAAAGTGCAGCACAGCTCTAATGAGCTCCAGGCCACATCATTGTTCATAAGGCTATGGTACCATTATTACCCAGAAGCACTCTGGCAGCAAGGTGACCAGGCCCTTGCTGGACAATGAGCAGCACCTCCCATCTGGGAGTTTGACCTTCCTTGTGTGTGGCCTTGCCTGTTCCCTCTACACAGGATTTGAGGATGACCCTCATGAGGGGTGGGCAGCAGGGGCCCTTTGGAATAGGTGGAGGGAGCCAACCACAAGCTTGACTAAGTCTGTCTTCGTTGGGAGGCAGTCCATTCAATTCAATTCAGCAGGCATTTCTCAAGTATTTCCCATGAATGAATGAATACAAATACATTCATTAAGAACTTGCTACGTGCCTTTCCTGTGCCACTGAGAATACCCATAGAAAAAGCAAAGAGTTCACTTTGTAACTGGGGTAAGTAACAAACAAAAGAAAGTCTGCTCGCAGGGCCTATGGCAAGGCTAGGGTCCTGAGGTTGGCCCAAGAGGTCAGCTGACTGTGCTTGAAGATCTGGAGGGCATAGAGGCAGAGCAGATGATAAAACCTGGTGGTAGTCCATCTGACCAGAAGGAGTAGAATGGCCAATTCCCATCATCCAACTGTTGTGAGTGGTCAAAGCCCTGGGAATTGGGGTGAGGGAGGTTTGGGAGGGAGCAGTCATAGGACCAGGGAAGAGGAGGATTACGGGAAGGAGTGTGGTAAGCGCACTGAACATCCCCGGTGTCTTCAGCTGACCTGATGTGCTGCAATCTAAGGCCTGTAACCATTCCTGGTGTGCTCTTCTTGACACGCCCTCGTCTCGCCAATGTCCCCCACAAAATACGGCACCCTCAGAGGGATACAGTGTGGCAGGTGTGGCCAGATCCAGATAGGGTGTAGAGTGAGGATTTCCTGGGCTTTCTGCTTCTGGTAACATCCCATTGGCATGTGGACCACGGCTGAATCATTGACTCATGTCAACCATACCATCCTCTAGGAAGGATCCTTGGAGTCTTCCACACAAATTGCTTTCTAGGTCAGTCTCCTGCTCTTTCTTTGCTTTTTGGTGTCAGAACCAAAGAATGAGATTGGCCGACAGCCTGATGAGCGCCACATCTGGGGGCCACCTGCTCTGCTCTGGGCTCCATGCAGCCACACCCCACAGGCCAGGACAGATTGGACAGACACCAAGTCTTTTTTATCTGTAACCCCAGTCTCTATGAGCCCTAGGCCAGTGCTGAACATGCTGTTGGTACCTAAGGCTATGTTGGTTAAGTCGACACGTCCTCAGTTTCTGAGTGGTCACGGGTGATTGCGGTCCTGCCCTGGACGAGTGATCAGCCCAGTTTCAGCGTGCTTTCTTTCGACAGGTAGATGCTGTTAGGTGTCTCTCCTGCCCGCCAAGAAGCTTTTAACATTTGATTCATTTATTTCTGCATTTTTGTGTTTCAGGAGGTATCAGAAGCTACAGAAGATCATGAAGCCCTGGTAAGAACATGCCCGCCGCTGCTTTTACACGGCTGGCCCCCAGCTTTCCCTGGCATGGCCACAGGCCCACGCTGGGCCAGCTCCCAGAGGGGCTTCTCATCTCCCGCCTGGTGTCCCGCCCTGCATCTAGCCACTCACGCATTGCTCTCACAGCAGGCTTCTTCTCCCTCACCCTCTTCCTTTGCTTGTGGCCTGGGCACCTTCTGGCTGGTCCCCAGGGCCTGTCCCAAAGTCCAGGGCCTGCGTGGGTGGGATCACTTTCGGTGAGAGGGCTTCATTCTGGTTTTTTCTCAGTCACATGTGAACAAAACTTTTTGACATTCATTTTTAAAATTTTCAGTTCCAAATTCTCTCCCTCCCTTCCTCCCCTCCCTTTCCTTGAGAAGGTAAGCAATCTGGTATAGATCATGTGTGCGCAATCTGATGTAGATCATGCATGTGGAATCTGGCATAGACCATAAACGTGCACTCTGGTGTGGGTCATGCATGTGCACTCTGATATAGAGCATACAGGTGCACTCTGATGTGGGTCATACACGTGCAGAATGGCTCGCTTCAGACCGAGGGCTTTGTGTGCGGCCCATGGGTGGTCTGAAGCAGGGTGCTCTGATCCATGTCCACTGGCCTCAGGCTCAAAGCTCCAACTTCTTTTAGAAGCGAGCCTGAAGTTTTGAGAGGTTCTTTCTAATTTCAAATGAGATGATATGTGTGTGTGTGTGCCTTGCACACAGTAAGAACTTAATAAATGCTTGTTCCCTCCCTCCCTCAGAATATTGAAGCCCCTGTTAAGTGATCTTCGTATGATTAGTGTTGAAGGCCCCTGATTTCACGTCTGCTCTCCCAGTCCCCATTGTTTCCACCAAAGCCCACCAAGCTGTCTCTGAAAGGCAGCCTGGGAAAGCCTGCAGTGCAGCCAGGCCACCAGGCAGAGCCCCACAGGGGCAGGGGCACCGCTGCCCTCTCCTCCCAGCTGGCCAGCCTGATGGAGGCATCCGTGGTCCTGCTTCCTTCCTGCTGAGCGAGAGCAGCCCATGTGCTAGACCAGAACTTTTTCCAAGTATTCAATTCAAAGTCAGGGTTTAAGGAAACAAAGAAAGCCTAAAGCAAAGACTCCCAGCTGGCTCGGGTCCTCCATCAAGGACGGTCCCTAACCCCTGCAGGTGTCCAGCCAATCCTGGGGCCATCTCTGGCCTTAGAGCTGAAATGCTCATTTCAAAATCATGGCGGCTCCTCTGGTCGGCCAGGGGCGTACAGTGCAGGCCGATAGCAGCAACAGAATCAGTGCTCGGCAATGAGCCTGTGACCACGTCCACCGAGGAGGACCCTTGGTAGGGACATGACCCACCCACGCCCAGCTATCTGGGGCCACTCTTATCGAGTCCTCCCCAAAGAACCGCCGGCAATAATCATTATTATTGTCGTCCTGAGGAATACTAAGAATAGAAGAATACTGACTACAGTGGCTGTTGTTGACACAGTAGGTGGAGGTGTGCAGAACGTGACAGCTCCAGCATCTACATGGAGCTCCATGACCACCCTGGTGGGGGACGATGCCATCACTGCACCCTGAGGCAGGAGCTGATTGTGCAGGGTCACAGAGCCAGTCACTGTCAGGGCTGGATTCATGCATATTCAGCACACATGTATCCGTGGGGCAAAAGATGGCACATAGCCAGACCCCCCTCCAGCAATGGTGGCCTTTTAAGAGGACACGGAGCAGTGAGAGAAGGCAGTGACTTTGAATCCTGCCTCTGACCCCTCCTCCCTGTATGACCACCTTGGACCTCAGTTTCCCTATCTGTTAAATGGGGCGGGGTTCTGACTCCGTGGTCCCTGAGCTCCCTTCCTACTCGTGACCTGCGGTCTCCTCCTGGCTCCTCTCCTCTCTGTTTCTCCAGGCCTGGGGGTCATATGACATCCCAAGCCAGCTTCATTTAAAAACGCAGATAGGGAATTCAGCCTTTCCAGGCAGCGCGAGCTCATGTTGGACTGAAGATAGCAGCAGCTGAGTCAGGGAGGAAAAGTGATTTAAAGTATTATGAAAGACACAGTGTTTTGGCCATGACCTTGGCCTGGCGCCAGGACCGAGAGTTTGCAGGCAGCTCATTTGTGGTCTTCCCTCCAGGACGGATTCTTGTCTGAGCTCACTTTCTGTAAATGCCTTTAAAGGTCCACAGCCCCTCCCCACATCGTCCTCTGCCCCCTCCCCCCAGCAATGCTAACTGCAGTGTCTGGTGGTTGGGCTTTGGCTGGGCTGGGTTTTCTCTAGGCAGCAGGGTCGACCTCAGACATATTCTCTCCTCTCCCTGGACCCCTCGCTAGTTCCCAGTGTGTACTTACCTAATGCTGTAACTCGGGTCACGTGGTGATGGGTAAGCTGGTTAGCCTGGGAATGCAGGAGAGCTTGACAGCTCAATCCCCTCCAGAAACGAGGATGTGGAAATGGAGGGACTCCCCCCACCCATGGAAGCTTGCCAGTGGGCGTGGGAGCCAAGGCCCACACAGGGGCTCTTCCCCTGCGCATCAGCCCCTCCCGTGGCCTCTGCCAGGCCTGGCCACGTGGAGCTCTTCCCCAAAGGAGCCGAGCCAGCCGGTGGACAGCTGACGTGGAGCTTAGCTGGCCTGGGGCTGGGGCCCTGCCTCCACCACAGCTGGGGATGGCCGGGGAGGCTCAGGAGCTGGGTCGTGGGACTCGCCCTCCCCTGTCTGAGGCCATAAGGTAGAAAGCTGGAGGGGGAAACTGAGGACCAGAGAGGTGAGAAGGGAGGAGCGGCCTGTGGCTTTGTCCCTGCTCTAAACCCATAGCGCCCTTTGTGAGCACTCAGATGGCCAGCCCAAGGCAAATTGATTCACCAAGCTAGCTCCTTAAGCCTTGCCTTTCTCCACTGGCTCCTGATCTCACCCTTGCTGACGTTTCCATATTGGGAGAGCTCTGCCCTCATGAATCTTGGTCATCTTCTCATTGACCTTCTTCCTGCCACTACCCCCTGTATACAGCAGGTGCTCAATGCTTAAAGGATGCCTTGAATCCTTCCCTGCTCTTTTGCTGGTGAACGGTCCATCCTTTCGGTCCTTGTGACTTCCAGTGATGGGGCGACCTGGTCCTCTGGCGACACCTAGAGGGCATCAGGGAGAAGCACCCCCCCCATCAGCATCTCCTGCTTGGTTGCATCCCCATCACTCAGAGCAGGTTGGGGGCAGATCCCTCAACCCCTCCTAGTGCCCCCCAGCCTGTGATGGCAGAGAAGGGCCCCTGGCTCCCGCCTGCGCTACCCCCTTGGGGGCTGTCCCCCAAACCGAGCATCCCTTCTGTCTGCCCTTCGCCAGAAGGCTCCCCCAGAGGTCTGGGGACTCCCAGAAGCCTACGGCAGCATTTGCACCATGGGAAGGGGGAGGCTTAAAGTGCCCCCAGGACCCTCAGCATCAAGAAACAAACCCACCATTCTATCCTGAGCTACCTAGCTGCTTCCTAGGCACAAGGTGAAGTGACATGTCCAGGGTCACACAGTTAGTGTCTGAGGCTGGATTTGAATTCAGGTCTTCCTGACTCCCGTCCCAACACTGTATCCACTAAACTACATAGTGCCTGATTGCTTGTACAAAAGGCAACCAGCCTTTTCTTTTTGTTTTTCCCTTTTTTGTGTCTACTCTATGCCCTGCAAATCCTGAAATGAAAGCTCCCTGCCCTGATGGAGTTTATGCTGGACAAACTCCTGATTCCCTTGAAAAACATTTTTATGAGTAAATATTTGCTCTAAATGCATTTAATGTAGATGGATTCCTCTTCTCCTGCATCAGGGCTTTGTGTCCTGGACCCCCTCAGACAGACAGGGGCCCCTTCTCAGAATAAGGCTTTTTAAATGCATAAAATAAAACGCACAAGGTTATGAAAGAAGCCTATTACTATTGAAAGGCAGTTCTCCAAATATGAAAGAGCTGACTTCAAGGACCCCTAAATTCTCCCCCAGGACACTGGGCAGCTGCCCTATGGCCAAGTCCGACCTCAGCCAAGCAGATTTCCTCTTAGAGAGAGAATGTAGGAGGCAAATCCTGGGGGTTCTTTTAACACAAACTAAAAAGTGTATTTGGCGTTCAGACTATGGACAAGGCAGTGGGAAAGACAGTGGTGCCAAGATGCTTCTTAAGAGGAAGAAAGATCTATAGGCTGTATTCAACCTCAGGCCTCCCATGTCCTTTCCATTATGCAAATATACATTTATACATAATTAAACATAGAAAGTTTTAGATATATGTGTATTCACTTAGCAAATAAATGGAAAGATTATGTGACGTAGAAGTGTGTGTATGTATGTGAAGACATAAATATATATGTTTTAGTGTAGCAGTGTGTGTGTCCAGGTGGGTGCAAGCACACACACACACACACATAACCAAATATCTTGCTTTCTCTCCACGCCCTCCTGTTTGGCTGCTTCATGGTCACGCCTCCTCTTCCCGCATCCCTTGCTCCCCACTAGCATTTAGGGTCCTCACAGCTCTCTTCACCCTTCAGGTTTCCAGCTTGACATCTTCCTTCTGTTTCCTGCCCCCTTTGCCATCTCCCTTCTTGGCCAAGACCATCACGGCTCCTCTTTGTGTCTTTCAGCTTTGGAGACATGCTGTCCTTCACACTGACGGCATTCGTGGAGCTGATGGACCATGGCATCGTGTCGTGGGACACCTTCTCTGTGGCATTCATCAAGAAGGTGAGCCAGCCTCTCTCTTTCTCAAGAGTCTGGGCCTGGGTCTCCCTTTCCCTGGTGTCTGTACTGCCCCTGCTCTCCTTGCTGTTAGAAAGATCCAGGATGGGAGAATTTTAGCTGCGAAATACTGAGGCATTCTCTAGTCCAGCCCTTTTGCAGATGTGGAACCTGAAGCCCAGAGACAGAGAGGGTTTTGTCCAGTGTCACACGGGCAGTTAGAAGCAGGGTCAAGATTTCAACCCAGATCCTCAGCCCTCTTTCCTCTGTGCCAGTCAGATAAAGGTTGACTTCTCTGGATAGAACTGGGGTGATGAGGGCCTTCAGGAACAAGACCTTGCCTCAAAGGAGAGGACGCCCTCATCGTAGGGTGGGCTCCCCTTCAGGAGGTAGGGAGGTTCCCTGGCCTGCCTACCGATGGAGGACTGGCTTTGTTTGCCCAGAGGTTTCATCGTGTGGGCTTCTCACTTGCCCAGTGAGAGTAGCCGCTGCCGGGACTGTCTGCATCATGGTTCCCCGCTGCTGTGGGCTCATTCACCATCAGCCACTTATCCTGTGCCCTGCAGGCTTGACCTCTGCCCCTGGCTCTTCTCCCTTCTTGCCTCCTCTCCTTGGCACAATGCTAGGCACAATGCTGAGGCCCTCGGAGAGTTCCTTCTGATTTTTAGGGGGTTTAGGGAAAGCTCTGAATCGCTCTCAGCCCAATCTCCTGATGCACAGCCCAGTTTCTTTGGGATGCTGGTGTGGGCTTCACCATCCTTCCTCCACTCGCTGGGACAAATGAGAAGGAGGTTTCTTTCTGAAGCCCCGATTGACTTAATGTTTGGGGGAAGATTCTACCAACTCGGAGCTTAATGAAGCTCTTTGGGGAGGACTTAATTCTTTTAGAAGGGCACATGACTGGTTCCTGGGAAGAATTTGGTCTTCGAAGTCTATTTTATAAATTCCATGGAAATTGAGGAAGATCAATGACATGCTGGGCAGCTAGGGAGTGCCGTAGTGCACAGAGCGCCAGGCCTGGAGTTGGAAAGACTCACCTTCCTGAGTTCAAATCCAGCCTCAGACACTTAGTAGCTGTGTGACCTTGGGCAAGTCACTTCACCCTGTTTGCCTCAGTTTCCTCATCTGTAAAATAAACTGGAGAAGGAAAGGGTAAACCACTCCAGTATCCCTGCCAAGAAGAGTGAGACTGCACAAGGCCTCTCCAGGAGGAGATGGGATCAGTCTCACCCCAGCTCCTCCCCATGACAGCATCCCTGGGGGATGGGAGGAGGGATCAGGTGTAAGGCTGCTCCTGCTCTTTCCTCACTAACTATGAGCCAGGGATCCTGTTTCAGCCCGGGAAGAAGAAAATGGATTTGGTGGTGCTGTCCTTCAGCTACCCCTGCTCTGAGGATGGTCGAGGCCCCCTTCCCACGAGCCCCATTGCCTCGTGGGGACTGAAGGCGGGATCTGCAGACTGGGCTCTGGGTCAGGGGTCTCTGCCCGTTCCCCTTCATCGGCCGGAGCATCCCTACTCTCGCACTGCATGCCAGGGACTGTGCAGCGGCTGCTGAGGATGAGTGGGGACGTGTACCCACAAAGGGGGCTGTTCTCCTTCAGGACAGACGAGGCTTCTCGCTGCAGAGGATAAGCTGTCCCAGTGCTGGAGCTTCCTCCTCCCTGCCAGGCGCGGGGGGAAGGGGCCCTCCAGGAGCCAGCTCCCGGACCATCTGCAGAGCAATGCACACATGTAGCCATGTGTGTAAACACGTGCATGGAAATATGAATCTGCGTGTTTAGAAAACCACGGCCTCAGGAGGAGACATTGGGAAGACACAGATGGGAAAGAGACAGTTTGGGGCTCAGGAAGCAGTTTGTTTTTCCCGGTGGTGTTACACAGCGCTACCTTCTATCAGGAAGAGGCACCTGGGGGCTCTGACGCAGAGTAGGAGCATGGTCTGTGGCTCTCACCCCGTCAGCCCCACCTAGAGTGAAGTGGGGCCACTCTGGGCCACACGGGGCTGAGAAAACTGGCCATTTGTCTTCTGAGGGTTTATAGAGGCAATGGGGATTTGGAAACTACTGAAGAGTGGCTTCAAGTGTATTGTGCTAGTGTAGACTGCCTGATGCCTTTGGGGCTTCTTCATCTCCATCCTCGCCTGTCCTGTCCTAAGATTTCTTTGCTAGATGAGGTCTGTGGGCTTTGTGAATGAAGGAAGGGGAAATGTGCGTCTTTAGGGAGTGCACCCTTACGGCCGCCCCGTGGGGCTTTTAATGCCACTACCAAGGGTAAATTTTGGAATCTAGACCGTGTTGGGTGATCATTCTGTCCCCAAAGGAAGACGGATGCCTCTCTTGCCATTTGGTCCAGGGAGAACATTGGACAAAGCCATGAGAGGTTAACCTTGGACGAGTCTCTTCCTCTCTCAGCCTCAGTTTCTCACAGCTGGCGTAAGTCTAAATCACAGATAAAACTGTTGAACACAAGAGGGCTGAGGATGAAGCCCTGAGGTACACCATTAGAGACCACCCTCCAGGTTGAGATTATCCACCTAACAAACTACCATCTCTGGGAGACCTCTGAGCATTTGTAAGGATGGGGATACAACCTTTCCTCCCCCTCTCACCTCCTGGACTCAAGCCTGTCCATCATTGTTACTCAGAGATCTCTCCCCCATCCATCCAATAGCATTTGATGCAGAAACTTTTCAATCCTTTGAGACTTGAATGTGCTTCAAAAAAATAAGATTGTAAGATCATAGTTTTAAAGCTGAAAGGGACTTTAGAGGCCACTGAGTCCAACCCCCTCAATGTACAGATGAGGAAACTGAGGTAACCCAGAGAGGGGAGCAACTTGTCTGGGCTCACACAGCCAGAATGTGCCTAAGGTGGGATTTGCACCCAGATCCTTCTGGCTCCAAGTCTGATGCCCTCTCCACTACCTCTCTTACTGTCTTTAGGACTTTCAGTCTTTCCTTAGTCATGTGGGCTCTACTCTTTCAAATTTGAAGATCTGTTAGGACACTCATGAACTAGCCTCCTGATCATCTTTTATTAAGAGCAATAGTTTGTCGGGAGTCTAGGTTCTTGTTTCTGGGGCAGGAAGGGACTTCAGCACAGCCTAGTTTCTTGATTTTACAGATGAAGAGATGGAGACTCAGAGAGGGGAATGATTTGCCCAAGGTCACACAAGAGGAGAGCATCAGAAGCAGAAGGCAACTGTTCAGAGGGTCCTGATGCCTCGATTCCAAGTGTTAATTAAACTGGAAATATTGAGGGAGGCTGTTGTCCTGCTCTGGGGAGCAAGCTTGAAATTCAGACAAGCTTGTGAGAAAATAAACATGATAAATCAAATAAACAAGCTTCAGAGAAAATGCCTGGTCAGCACCATGATACTGATGGGCAGTGTAAGCTCTAGTGACACCGAGAGAATTTGGTTCAAGCACAGAAGTGTAATACTATACTTGGCCAAAGAGGTGTTCATGGGCCATTAATTAACAAGTGATTACTAAGTATTCTCTAATTCAGGCATTGTTACTTGCTGAGTGGCACCGTGAATAGCTCTCTGATCCTATGTTTAGAGCATTTCCTGGCTCACAAAGAATTTTTCACAAACAGCCTTTTGAGGGAGAGAGTGAGGGTAGGATTGTGCCCATTTTTCAAATGAGGGAACTGAGTCTCAGAGAGGGAAGTGACCAAGTGATGCGGCTGCACCCCCACTCTCCACGACCTGGGACCGGAAACCAGGGATCCTGATGGCTTCAGCCCAGCGTTCTTTTCCTCAGGCTGTAGGATTGCTAAGGCTTATGTTTCTTGCTGGAATGACAGATGTGGAATTGATTAGGGGAGCCTCCAAGAAGCAAAACTGAAACCAGGTTTTGAGGAAAGCAGCGGCTGGTAGAGATAAGGAAGGAGCATATTTGGTGGGAGAGACAGAATATGTGAAGACTAAGAGAGGAAGAGAAGCTGCTTGTTAGAAAGGGCTTTGAGATCACAAGCTGTAGTGTGGCTGCTGAGGAAGTATGTGAATATATGTGTGTGTGTGTGTGTGTGTGTGTGTGTGTGTGTGTGTGTGTCGGAGAGACAGAGAGACAGAGAGACAGAGAGAGACAGAGAGAGAGAAAGACAGAGACAGAGAGAAAGACAGAGACAGAGAGAGAGAGACAGAGAGACAGACAGACAGAGAGACAGAGACAGAGAGAGAGAGACAGAGAGAGACAGAGAGAGACAGAGAGAGAGACAGAGAGAGACAGAGAGAGAGAGAGACAGAGAGACAGAGAGAGAGACAGAGAGAGACAGAGAGAGAGACAGAGAGAGACAGAGAGAGAGACAGAGAGAGAGAGAGAGAGACAGAGAGAGAGACAGGGAGACAGAGACAGAGACAGAGAGAGAGACAGAGAGAGAGAGAGAGAGAGACAGAGAGACAGAGAGACAGAGAGACAGAGAGAGAGAGAGAGACAGAGAGAGAGATGCTGGTGGATGGTAGCAAGTTGTGCTGAGTCCCACAGCCTGTAATCAGTGGCTATAATGACACAAGAGGAAATCGTGCCTCATCGTGTGTGGCCTTGGAGGACAAGGCTGTGACCCAAACATGAGCAGAATGTTAACTCTGCCTGATGGAGGCAGGACCCAACACTTGGGCACTGGGAGTTTACTGAGACCAACATGGTGGAAGGGTCTTCTGTCCTTTCTGTCTTAGCCTGCTAAAAGATGGGAGGACTTTGGGGGAGACACTCCATGTACCTCCTGCCATGGATACCTAGCCAGCTGGTACCCCACATCTGTTGGGGGCCAGGACTCCCCCAAGAAAAACTGAACTCCCAATATAGATGTACACTTTTCTCAAGATAGGGAGTATTTCATGGGAACCGTCATCATGCAGATGGACTCTGGGGAAAATTATCTAGTTGCAATGACCATACAAATTGTGGATAAGTAGAGAGCAATGTTAGGATTTAGCTGGGAACAATGTTGGGAAGGAAGAGGAAGATGAGAAGGATGAAGGCTGTTGGTCAGTGTCCAAAGCAGCATTGGCCAAAGCAGTGGCAGGGAAGTCTGTTGGATCACCTGGGTTCTTGGCAAGTGGCACAGTGAATGAGACCTCAATTTGGAGTCAGGGGTTCTGCTACTCAGCAGCTGCATGACCTTGTGTAAATCCTTCCCCTTTCTGGGCCTCAGCTTACTCATCTGTAAGATGAAAGGTTCGGAATAAAAGATCCTTGAGATACCTCCCAATTCTTAATGTGTGTCTCTAAAGAAGAAAGGAAGGGAAAGGCTAATGATTGCTTCCAATCTGAAAAGCATTTATTAAGTGCCTACTGCATACTAGGTCCTGTCCTTAGCACTGAAGTTAGGAAGAAAGGCAAAGTGCAGCCTGCTCTCAAGAAGCTTCCGTTCTATAGTGGGTGGTAGAAAGATACAACATCAACACAAATTGGTAAATTCTCAATCATTTCAGGAGGACGGTGCCTTGGCCAGCTGGGAGACACAACACATGAAATCCTAAGAGTTGATTCAAGATTGCTGAAGGAAGTGGATGAAAATGTCTGTGTTGTGGTTGGCATGGCCATGGTGGGAGACGGGGAGGAAACTAGGGGAGAATAGAGGAGGGAGCTGGTGATGTCAGAGGTGGGGAGAGGAGGATAGATTGGGAGTGGGGAGAGGAACAAAGTTCCAATTTCCCATGGAGGCAAATCATCCAGTCTTGAAGGAAGCTTCCAACTCCTGTTTCTATAATGGCCTTTTCAGCATCATCTTGTCAACAGGCATTAATAGCTTTAACAAGGCCCCTTAAATACATTATTTACAAGCCCCCTGTGTCTTACATGCTGAGATCCATGGTTCTAACACACATTTCACTCCCATTCATACCCTGATTTGTTAGAGTCTGGACTGAAAGATGAATTCCATAGAGAAAACAGTGGAGAGTTTAAGGTGTTATTCTAATTTTCGGAGCCGGTATTTTCAGTGTTTTGTACATCACTGGCTGGGAGGAGTGGCAGGGGATCCAATAATTTGGAGAAAGTTCAAAGATTGAGAGAAAAAAAGTGAGCGAGTGAGCAGCAAAGAGGGAGGGCAGCTTGGCACAGGAGAAAGAACCTTGCTCTGTAGTCAGAGGGCCTGGACTCAGATTCTGCCTCTGATACTTACTATGTGTGTGACCTTGGACAAGTCACTTCTCCATGGCCCTCAGTTTCCCCATCTGTAAAATGGGGGGATGCAGATGGCCGCCTCTGGAACTAAGGCCCCCAGGAACCCGTGTTGCCAGTGGACAGTGCTGACCTGAGTGATTTTCCCTGGCTTGCCTTCCCTGAGGAGCTGAGCAAAGGACTGGAACCAAGTCAAAGATGAGGTGGCCAGAGGGATGTGTGGAAGGGGATGGATGCAATTCTGACTTGAAACGCATCTCCTAAGGACGTAGCTGGAGCCTGAGTCACTGTTGTGTTTAAAACATTTACCCCTAACAACCTAACCTCAGAGGAGTGGCCCATGGAAACCAGACAGCAAGGCTTTGGGCCACTGATGGAATGCGGAGGCCACGTCTGCTTCTAGTTTTTAACTGATTGCTTCCTTTTTCCTGAATTTAGAATCTGAGACCAACCTCAGCTTGGAAAAAGAGGGCGTGGTTGGTGCGCTCGCCCTCGGGAAGCACTGGGGCGGCCTGCCGGAGCCTGCTGCCTGATGCTCTTGGCGGTTCCCTAGAGGCCGCTTTTGCCTCCTTGCCCGTCTCATGTGAACCAAGCATGTTCTGCCTCCGTTTATTTGCAGATAGCGAGCTTCGTGAACAAGTCTGCCATCGACATCTCTATCCTGCAGCGCTCCTTAGCCATCCTGGAATCCATGGTACTGAACAGCCATGACCTGTACCAGAAGGTGGCGCAAGAGATCACGATTGGCCAACTGATCCCCCATCTTCAGGGGTAAGGAATGGTGGAGGGAGCACTAGCAAATGGACCCAGGGAGATCAAGAATAGGTTGGCTCTGGGAACTCGTTGACATCAGTGCCCCCTAACAGGGAGAGCCCAGCCCATCTATGCCTGCCCGTCCTTGGCAATGTCTTCCCTTATGGATTCCCATCAGTCTTTGAGGGATCTGCCTGGTACCCAGGCTGACCCTAAGGCTTCTGATGTTCCACAGATACAACGCAGGGCCATGCATTGAAATATATATTGCACGTGAATTTTGTAAGGAGCTGTGATCTTGAGAGAGAGAGAAAGGAAGAGGAGGAAGGGAGGGAGGGAGAGAGAAAGAGAGAGAGAGAGAGAGAGAGAGAGAGAGAGAGAGAGAGAGAGAGAGAGAGAGAGAGAGAGAGAGAGAAGGAATGGAAAGAGAGATTGGAGAGGCTATGACAAAGTACAGGACTCCTGGGTTCAAGTCACTTTGTTCACTTATTGTATGTGTGTGACCCTGGGCAAGTCATCTGGCTACTCTGAAGTCAGGAGTGATATCTGCACTACCTGCTCCCCAGGTCTGACAAGAGCAAAGACTTCATAAGCCATCCAGTGCTGTGACTAGCATGAGTACAATTGTTAAAAATCATTGACGTTATGTGAGGGTGTTAGTGACACTCCTGAGAATGAGATCTTTGTGTCCTCTTTGGACTCTTCCTTTTTTCATGATAAGATGATTATATGTGATCTCACTATCAAATCAGACAACATATATGTGTACACATATATGCATATATACATCCATATGAATAGCTAACATTGATAATGGGCAGCTAGATGGCGCAGTGGATAGAGTACTGGGCCTGAAGTCAGGCCTCTCAACTGCCTGAGTTCAAATCCAGCCTCAGATACTTACCTAAATATGTTGTGTGACCCTAGGTAAGTTCCTTTACCCTGTTTCCCTCAGTTTCTTCATCTGTAAAAACCATTGCAGCATCTCTGCCAAGAAAACCACAAATGGGGCCACAAAGAGTCAGACAAAACTGAAATGACTAAACAAAACATCGATAAGAATAGCTAACATTGACATAAGATTTTAATGTTTGCTAAGTTTATATCTATATACATACATTCACACATAAATGCAGCATAATATATACATAAATGTACATATAATAGGAAATACATACCCATACATGTATACATGCAAAATATATACACATAAATACATGTGTGTATACATATATACAAAATATTAAAACCCTGTGTCAGTATTAGCCATTATCATAGGGTCATGGATTGAGAACTTGGGGAGACCTTAGAGGTCATTTAGCTCCTGCCCCTCTTTTATAGATAAGGATACTGAGGCCCAGAGAGGCTTGCCTAAGGCTAGACCCAGGATCTGAACTCAGTTCTTTGGGCTCCCAATCCCACACTTCTTTTGCTGCATCATCCTGCTTCCCAGCAGTTTGGCAGGGCTTTCAAGCGTGTGAAAGGGAGTAATAGTCCCGAAAGGTTGGCCACAGTCTGCCTTTGAAGGGCTTCAGAGGCCAAAGGGAAGCGTTTGTATCTTATTCTAGGGGAAACAGGGAGACAGTGAGGTTTCATGAGCAGAAGGGTGCCATGGTAGGCCCATGTTTTCAGGCTGGCAGTTTAGTTGCCGTGGGGAGGTTGGGCTGGAGCAGAGACCCTGGCGTTTTCTTTCTTGATCCCTTGTACTCATGTTTGTGCTTTTCACTGGTGGAGGAAGGCATGTCCTCCACAGGCAGAGCCCCTGCTGTGCCAGGCCAGAGGTTGGGGGCAGTGCCATCCCTCGGTGCGGCTGGGACCAAAGCCAGCCCGGCTGCTCCAGTGCCTTCCTGTTTGCTGAAAGATTAGTGAGGCAGACCCCACATTGCCCCCCCTGCCCCTTTTTCTAAACTCTCCTGGTTCCCTGTGCTGCATTTTAAAGTCCTTCACTTTGTAGCCAGGATTGAGAATTTTGTCTCCTCTCTTGTCTTACCTGGTGGTTGAGGGAAGCCTTGTAGCCTCTTTTCTCTGATCCCTTGTGGTTTTTTATCTTTAGGACGGATCAAGAAATCCAGACATACACCATTGCTGTAATCAATGCCCTTTTCCTCAAGGCACCTGATGAGAAGCGGCAGGTAAGGGATGTTGCCTCTCTCATCGAGAGCTGCTGAAGGCAGGCTGGGAGGCAGCTTCAGCCGCACTTTCTTTGGACCTTCTGGCCTCTTCTTCTTTTCTGAACCTGGGTTCTACACAAGGGAGAGGGTCGCTTATTCTGTGTGTGTGTATGAGCACATCCGTGTGCACACGTACATGAGTTCCTATCTATGTGCTTGCCCCTGCCTGTGTGTGGTGACAGAGGAGAGAGCCCTGTGTCTGCCTGGTCCTTTTATATCTTTTCCACAGGCCTTATCACCCCTGTCTCACCTGATCCCCACATTCTCTGGTACCTAGGACAGTGTGTAGATACAGCACTGGGTCCTCAGGAAGACAAGAAGAAGGATTTAGTAAGATGTGGAGTGTGGACCGTTCAGCAAGCAGCCGGGTGGCTAGAGCGTAGACCTCTAACTAGCTGTGTGACCCTGGGACAGTCCCTTAATGGGCATGATAGCACCTACCTTCCAGGCTTGTCATGAGGATCCAGTGAGATCGTATTTGTAGAATACTTCCCAACCATAGAGCGCTATGGAAATACTGGGTATTATTATTGCTATTGTACAATCCAGTAGACTGTTGATGCCCATTTTGTAGATGGAATGACTGAGACCTAGGAAGCTTGGGAGCTCTCATGTCCTGACAGAGCAGCTATCAGTGAGAACCCAGGTATGCTGGCCCTTTGCTTTGTGTTTGCTCTCCCCCATCCTCCACAGTCACTGAGCTGACCTGGGCCTGAGCAGCCAGCTTCTCTGAGATGAGGTGCCTCAACTATGGGTAGAAAGCCTGGGCTGCTGCCCACTGGCTGACTTCTCCCTCCAGTAAGATGGGAAGAGAGTGGGAGGTTGGGTGTCAAAGGACTAGTCACTTCTGGCCAAACCCTAGGGAGAAGGGATAGATTCACCTTCTCCTACCCATCAAGCCTCAAGTGAGCCTTTCCTGCTCCTCTGAATGCTTAAAGTCAACTGAAATTATGAATGATTGAGTCCATATTGCATGCATTAATATACATGCAAGTCATTACAGCAAAGCGTGGAAGCAAACAACTGGTGGGCCACAAGCGGAGGCACAATTTTATGAGCTCCTTTGCTCAGGGAAGCATTGCCTGAGGATCTGAGAACTGACTGACAAAATGTTGGCCATCGTGCTCCATTTGGAGTTGGAGGCTCCTGAGTCTTGAGGAGGGCTTAAATTTTATACAGTAGATTGAGCCCAGAGAACCTGACAATCCTCAGCATTACTTTTTGGCTCTTATATGCCATGGGGTCATTGCCAGAAGATTCTCTTAGACTTGGCTTGTGCAATTGAATAGTTTAGCTGATTATTTTTAAATGGGATGAGGGGGTTTCTTTATGAGGAATAGTAAGGAGGTGAGAGGAGGGAAGGAAAAGGAAGAGAAGGGAAGGGAGGGGAGGGGAGAAAGAAGAGGACAAGTAAAGGAAGGAAGGAAAAGAAGAATTGAAGAAAGACATTCATGATAACTTTTTTTTTTTTATCAAAACAGCATCTGCTCCACAATGTTCACTGCTGATGCTGCCAAACCACCCATAATAGGGCTGTGTTGGCATTGCTTAGAGCCAGAAATCTGGAGCTCCTCCCGTGGTATCTTTGGAAGTAGATACGATCAATATTTATGCACTTCCTTGCCCAGCCCTCTTGTTAAATCCTTGAATTGGTGCTGAAGAACTCCGGAGTAGGGCGTTAGACCCTCTTCTGTTGGGTGTCCAAAGGGACAATCCTCAGGAAGACTCCATCCTTCCCTATGGGCCCAGCCCGTGGCCTCAGCTTGGAGGTGTTGAAGGCCGCATTACTTGACCAGATCTGTTGAGTTTGAAGGCTTGGAGTGTGGGCCTGGGAAGGGAAGGAATGCTCCCTGAGGACCAGCAGAGCTGAGATAAGAGCAGTTAGCTCCTCACCAGGAAGGGCTGGCTCTGGGGGATGAATCTTTTCAGCCACGGGGCCCTAAAGTGTAGTGGAAGGCCCTGTGGACTAGCCACGTGCAGGGAATTATGGAAGCTGGCAGGACTGAAATCATGGCCCAGTCAATTCCTGTCCTAGGGGGATCTCGAGGCTATGCCTTTGTACCACCTGTGGCTCCTGGCCACGTCCCTGGGGTCCTCATCATGCCAGGGTGGGCCTATTCCAAGCCCGCCCTTCCGTTCCTTGGCCCCAGTGGTTTGAGGTGGGTTTTCCATTGGTTGGATACACTCTTACTATAATCATTATTCCTGGTGATTTGGAGCAATCTTGCTAATGGTTATTAATATTATTCATTATTATTAATAATAATATTATTAATATTAATAGTTGTTAATATTTTTCCATTCTTTTAAGAAATGTGTGTTCATATCCTTTCCCCACTTATCCACTGGGGAATAGCTCTTGGTTTTATTTGTGTGTGTTAGTTCTTTATACTTTGCCTTTACACCCTTGGTATAGTTCTATCTTGCTTTTAGGAAATTATCTTATTAGGCAACTGAGTGGTCTAGTGCCTACAGTGCTGTACTTGGATTCAGGAAGACCTGAGTTCACATCCAGCCTCAGACGCTAGCTGTGTGACCCTGGCCAAGTCACTTAACTATAACTCAGTTTCTTCATCCATAAAATGAGGATAATAATCCCTCCTGTCTCCCAGGATTATTGCAGAATAAGATGAGATAGCATTTATTAAGTGCTTTGCAAACCTTAAAAAGCTCTCTAATTCTTGCTATTATTATTATTAATTATTGTGCTGCTGATACTGAAGAAATTCCCTTTAGGATTACTTAGTGCCTTCCTCTCGGCCCTGATGGCAGAAGTCCCCAGGAGGCACCCCAAACCCTGTGTTCTGGGTATGCTAAGGAAGCAGGGGCTGGTGAGCCTGGGGTCTTGGCCTTGCTCATTTCCTGCAATTGCCTTTTTCCTTTCCCTGGGTTCATCCTGGGGTAGCTTTGGTTTCCTTCTGGCATAGAGAAGAGAGCCCTGCTTTGTATGGACAATGAAGGAGCCAGGGCCTTGGGGGGCCACCTATATGTTTTCAGATGAAGGTCAGCTTTCCTCTTGGGGAGGCCTTCTGAGCCCCATAGCACAGCCCTGGGTTTCTTCCCTGGTATTGTCCCGGCTTTTAGAAATGCCCTCCTGTCCCGCGCTCTTTCTGCACACGGCTGGGGCCCTGGGGCATCAGACAGTCAGAGCCCACTAACCGGACTCCTCTGGACTCTCCCCTTCTTCTCTCCCACCTGCCTTCGCGCCCCGGGGGGCGGCTTGCAGGTCAAGCTAGAGCCTCAGGCAGACATCCTACAGTGCCCACTCACTGTAAGTCTCTGCGCTGCTTCCCGCCTCCCTCAGCGGAGTCCTCTGCCGCGCCGCCTTCACCGACTGCTCTCCTGCCCTGCTTCCACTGACTGTCTGTGGCGCTTCCCCTCCTACCCGCCCCTTTTACAACCTCGTGCAGAGGTGGGTTTTGTCCAAAGCTTAGATCACAGCTTCGCTTCTTTTCTACCTTCATGATGCGCACAAGCACGTTTCCCCATCTGTAATATGAGAGGGTCAGACTCAGTGATCTCTGAGGTCCCTCCCAGCCCCGGACCTAGGATCCCTGTTGGTCACATGCGCACAGCTTCCTGGCCCGGCTCCCTCTCAAACCGTGTTTCCAAAGTCCTGTCCAGGCTGGCCTCCCTCCAGTGAAGCAGCCCTTGGGTGTCGGACTCAGGGCGTACTGGTAAATGTTTAACAATCAGCTTTCTGCGGGGGGCGGGGGAAGATAACCATGGTGCACGTTTAAGTTAAATCTGCATTATTAAATTTTTCTCCATCACCTCTTAAGTCTAGACAATCAATAGATTTGTAGCATTGCTAATTTCAGCCCAGCCCTGGGGAGGTCCAGTTAAGACCTATGTACCCCCGTACGCCAGCCCTCTCCATTGCTTTCCTGCATAGAGTTTGAGAAATAGACATTCCCGGCCCCTGCAGACCCTCTCCAAGGCTCCTGGGCCTTTGGGCCTGAGGTATCAGGCTGCATGGAAGGCCCCAAAGCTCAGCCCACCCTCCAGCCTTCCCCAACATTCTTTACTTCCTGAGACATTCTGCTCCTCTCCCTTGAGGAAGAGGGTGTCTGAGGCTCCAGTCGCTTTTGTCGACTGAGGCTCTTTTGTATTACAGGAGATGGCAAACATCCTGGCCCAGAAGCAGCTTCGCTCCATCATCCTAATGGTAAGTGCCCCGAGCTTGCGGCAGCAGTCGGTGCTGGTGGTGGCAGCGGGGAGGAGGAGTCGGGGCGGCCCATCCCCTGACTTGTTTCTGTGGTGAAGAGGCAGGGATCCGGGTTAGGCTTCCTCACCGCCCGGTGCGCAGTAGGAGGGGACCAAGGTACCCTTGTATGCACCATAAGGTCATCTAGTCAGTCCAGTCAAATCAATAAACATGAATTAAGGGCCTGCTATGTGCCAGACACTTGCTAAGGGCTGGGAACACAAAGAAAGGTAGAAGACGGTCCTTGGCCTCGAGGGACTCCCAGCCCAATGGAGGAGACCGTGTACAACCCAGATGCAGGTGGGATAAATTGGAGATAATCCACCGAGGGAAGGCCCCAGCATTGAGGAGAACTGGGAAAGGCTGAGACCTGGGGGAGGCCGGGGTGGACATGAGGAGGAGGAGCATTCCAGGACTGGGACAGGCAGTGGAAGCGCCTGGAGGTAGGAGATGGCATGCCTTATGTGAGGTCAGGATCAGGGAGACAACACGTACCTCCAGGGAAAGTAGAGTCTGAGAGAAATGAATGAGGGAGAGGGCACTGACCCCTGGGGGCCAGGCTGGGCTGGGAGGGCAGGGGGACTGGGGAAGACCACAGGAAAGGTAGCCCCATGCGCCCAGCTCTTTGTAAGCTCCCTGAGGGCAGCAACCCTCCCTTCCCTGTTTTGCCTTTTTGCTCACAGTGCCTGGCACATAGCAGGTACTTAATGAATGCTTACTGATTGGTGGATTTATCGAAGGCCATCTCCACTCTCATTGGTCACTGGTCCTTACAGAAACACAGATTAGACTTGGCAGGAGCCGGTACAATTACATTACAAAGGCCTCCAGTGCCCTTGAGGGGTCTGGGCCTCACAGTCCAGGTCTTTGGGAAGGTCCTGGAGGAGAGGAGGCCTACAAAGCCGCTTGCACTCCGGGCTGGGTGTTTCCCCTCCCTACCTACGCTGACTGTACAAATTCACCAGGAGTCAGCTTCACACTTGAATTCAAAGCATTTCCAATAAGTTGATGGGGCAAGCTTTCACTTGGGTTGTGTGTGTGTGTGTGTTTTATTTTTCACTTTGGTTTTTGTCTCGTCCTTGCATCCCACAGCATGTCATCCGAGCCCAGAGAGCCATCAATAATGAAATGGCCCATCAGCTGTATGTTCTGCAAGTCCTGACCTTTAACCTCCTGGAGGACCGAGTGATGACCAAAATGGACCCACAGGATCAGGTGAGGGGCTGGCCTGCCAGCCATGGAGCTTCTGATGGCAAGCCTCGGTCTTGGAGGGAGAACATGGGATCTAAGGGGCGGTGGAGGATCTTAGCCTCCCCCATCCCTACTCCCGACTTCTGGCCACCCACAAACCAGGACTCTGCCTTCACTTCTGATCTCCCAGGAAATCCATTCCAAGTTGCAGTGAATGTTTTCACTGTCTTGTAATTCTCCCTTTTCTCTGACCTCAACCTATGATGCTTCAAGTTAAATGTTTTCTCTCATTTTTATGAAGATGGGGTCTCCAGGGGAAGGTGTTTGCCTATTATTCTGAGAGCTGGGGATCTTGATCAGGTAGGGACCATGGGAGATCATCGAAGCCCAACCTCTCATTTTATAGATGAGAACACTGAGTTTGAGGGAGGGGAAGGGACTTTTGCAGGGTTACAGGGGCCATCCTCTGATTTCAGATCACAGAATCTCAAGAGTTGGAAGGGACCACCCTCCACCAAATATACGCATCCGGTCACTGCTACCCAGCACTGACAATTCTGTTTTGTGGGACCGCATGGAACAAGGCTAATCCCTTTGCCATGTCATAGTCTTTTCGATACATTACATCATATGACTCCATGGCAGTTTTTACTCCTGCCCTGGCATTCCCTCCTTTCCCCCAAACAGAAACATCTCTGTATCTTGGGCTTGAAACTGCTACTACACTAATTCAGTTTTTCCTCTGGAACTGACAACTCTTAAATGGAACACTGTGTTTTACAATGTGTTTATATCTATAGTTTCCCCCTTG